TTCTAATACAAGTTTTTTCAATAGAAAATACAAAAGAGCACTAGTTAATTATAAATCGATCAATTATTCCAACCTGTGATTAGCCACTTAAAGACGTCGAAGAGACGTCGATTCGATAAAATAAATCTCTGGCTTCTACAAGCGAACTGCACTAATTGCAAGTGTAGAATACTCCAGTCAGAATACTCCAAATTCTTAGATCGTAACTATTTCAAGCAAATATAAAGAGAATCTCATAAAATAAAACGAATTCCGTAAGATTTTAGACCGTGGACCTTTAAAGATTAAGAAACCAAAATAATTTGATAAATAGATTTTTTAAATCAAATTTATGAATACAAATTTCGTAATACTTTGTTCGTTCATTGTAAAATATATTTTTTAATTACTTAAAATTTGTGTAATTTGAAATTAAATTTTATTTCTGTCATTTGATTAAAATAGCTACAAGAATTAATAAGAGAAACGTAGCAAAGTCAAATTTAACTAGCTAACTAGCTTTGTAACTAGCTTAAGCTAAATTTGATGTAAAATTCTTGTCATGTTAAAAGTAATAATGCATTTATAGGATTTGCATTTCTTAACATTTATATTAGATTTCGTTTATAATTCCAATATTATACACGAATATAAGTGAATTAAAGATATAGGAAAGATGTAACGTGGAGATTTCACGAATATTTATTTAAATATAACGTTGTACAAATTTTCAAATATATCGCTTTGAACATAATTGACCTATTATATTTTAAGTGATCCGCTTCGTTCATTTCACGCATCAATTATCATGCCTAATATGCATTAACCTAGCTATATTGTAAAATTTTACTCGAATTCTGAAAACTCGTATCGTATTAAACTTGTGCTTTCATCGTGTTAAGCTTCGCGCTCAAACATAAATGAAGCAATATACATTTTCATAAAACAGATTCTTTCTCTCCTTACGGATGCATCAAATAAAATAAGGCGACGAAAAGTGAACAAAAATTATTTCTAATAAAACAGTGACTTTAAATCGAAACGTACTACGTTTATCTTCCTTCAAATTCGTTGATACGTTTTGAATCAAAACACAGTTACTACGCCATTAGGAAAAAAATTATAAAAAAAGTACTTCCTCGGAATATTCCACTATTTCAATCGTCAATATATGACTTAATAACATTTTCTGCAGAATTCTCATCTCAACGTTTCCGCAACGGAATCACGTTTTACCCCTAAGGACGAAGCATTAAAATCACCATTCGTAATTAAAGTTGCCATCGAAGAAGCCTTCGAACAAAGGACGCTCTAGCTCACCCCCTGACAATAATGCAGATGCAAGAGGACTTTCAGCAAGGTCAGCAATCGTATCTCCGACCTGTTCGAAGCTTTGATACGAGGGCATCTCTCTTAAAATCTTCTGCCAGCTTCGCTAATCCCGATAACAAGTAAAAGGAAAGCGCAAGGACTTCTAAGAAATCGTTCTTTCGTGTCAGGGACAAATTACCAGGGTCGAATCGCGTAGAATAGAATTGAATGGCGTCTTTTACAAAGGAAGCAGGCCTTCTAGTGACTGGACTGGAGAGAACTTAAAAGACTATATACAATATAACGCAGAATTTCTATATCGACCACATTTAGAGTCTCGTAATGGCAAACAAATATCAAATTGATCGGGAGATTCCGTCGTTTTTGTTCTTTGAGAGGAAAGAAATTAATTGTCAATTGTAGATCTGCTACATTCTTTGCATTATTTTCGATTGAAATTTACGTTTCGTTATCCTTGCAATGTTTCTTAATTTGTGAAAAATTAGAACGAATCGTCGTTGATGGAGCGCGGATATTTATGCAAATTTGTAGCTCTATGAACAGAATTAAAGAGACGGAACTTAGGCAGAAATTTGTTTCACCCAGTAAATATTTTTACAGCTACTCTACTTTGGATATTTTAGATATTTTTTCACATTGTTCGCGCAATTTCCCGTACATACATAAAAATCTGCAATCTAGTTATTACTGATTTCTTCCCTCGATACTACGCCAAAGATCTTCTTAAAGGATCAATTTCTTTTTCTCGGTAAAAGAAAAGCAAGAAAACATTGAACCGTCTGTTCGATAAAACATTGAAATTATTATCAGTTAGTCTTCGATATAAAATTCACCGTTACCGTGTCTACAGGTAATTCACATGTGTCCCGGTGTTGTTGAATTTTTCATTTTTATTACTAAAATATTACTTCAGCGAGTTTTCTTGAAGTTTCATAAACACTCAAACAAGCTACCACCTTATTTAAAAACTGCTGTAGAAGATACAATTTTTCTATCTAACGCTCGTAAGTACAAAGTGCAACCATCTTAATTTCATCTCATTTTTTTTTATCACTTTTAGCTTCACCTAAGATGCACTTTGTTACAGAATAATTTATTCATCAAATTTTTATATGTCTTGCGTCTCATAATAATTTAGCCGCTCCACTCATTTAACGTAGTTACTTAGTTTGCAAGACAAATTTACTTTGGTCACAAAAATGTCTAGGAGATTGATGTACGTATCTACTGGATTTCCACGTACATGTAGACCCTTAATGCGTTCCTTCGGCCAAGACAGGCTAACTGCACACGACAAACCTGGCCTTAAATTTGGCAACGAACAGCGTGTCGTGATTTATGTTAATCTTTGTCCACGGCCAGAAACGTTTCGATAGAGCTACACTGTGACCAATCTGTGCAAGGATTAATTGGACGCCGGCCTAGAATCGAAGTGTCTCTGAACGTGTTCGGACCTTCGTCGTAAAATATTGAGAATCGCCTCGAAACTTTGTCAGTCCATTTCGATGCTTTCGAAAGTTACTAATTTACGCCATTTAAATAAATAAAATAACAACATTTTTGAAGTCTTTCAATATGAAGTATCAAAAATATACAACTTCATGCTTTTTTCAAAGAATTCAAAAAATTCAAAGATTTTTTAGTATCGCGGTATATGGTACACAGGAAAATTTTGCTCTGGAATAAAATTGATCTTAAAGTTTAAAGCAATATATTGGGAATTATTGAAATTCTCTGGGTGCTATTCGAAATTTAAAATTCGTAGATGAGAAAATTTAGAAATTTGTTTAGCTTTGAACTCGTGCTTTCATTGTGAAACATTGGAAATATAATTAATTTCAAGATCTTTCTATTTTTTATTCAGGTAAAATGTTAGAAGGAAATATCTAGAGTTTCGTGTAAATTCTATCAATTTACTGGAATACTTTTGGAAATTCAAAATTTATGGCGGAAGAATTTAGACGTTCTTTGTTGAAAATGACAATGTGAGTTCGTGCTCGCCATCCATATGCAGATGCGTTAGTTATAAGAAATAGTAACTAGAGGATGATCCTAATTACAATCGATAGACTTAATCGATAGGCTTAAGATGCCTTTTTGTTTTTATTCCTAGTTTTTTGTAAGCGCGTGCAATAAAGGTTTTTTGGACGGTGTGATAGATTTATCCATTCAATAAAATAATAACTATTCCAATCTCACCTCTGAGTATAGAAATAACAACATTCTTAATGTGAAATATCGGAGGTCTAGAAATTTAGTTGACTGAAGATTCTTGGAAGCTTTAATCCGTCGTTCAGAAAAATTGATTGGGTCATCTATTATAAAAACTTTGAAGCTAATTTCAAACGCTGATATATTATTTTTTATTTATGAAAGATGCTACTTCTTCATAGAGAACATATTAAAAATCACATTTTTCAACGCCATTGAATTATTTCGATATTTCTAGAAATTCAAAGCTGATGACCAAAAGAATCTTGAGTTATCATTGTCAAATACCGGAAATATAAATAATTTTACATATTTAGATATATTTTCTAACAAGACTTTACGCCTTTATTTTTTACTAGAAGTATCGAAAATTACATCCAAGCGATATTGATCTTAAACTGTCGTTGCTTGAAAACTACACGTATCGTAGAAAAATGGTGTTTCACAATATCCAAAGGTCTACGTCCGCCGATCAACGGCCTAGCTAACCCAGAAACCAACGATCTCGTCTTTCGCAACTAGCGAACTGTCCGATACTCGGCAATTAAACGAAAAACGACAAGTGTCAAAAAACGAATCCCGTTCCACAGGATCATCCTAACCGATCTACTTTCGAATTCCTCTTATAGAGGCGTGACCATATTCCGTATAGTTCGAGATCCGACAATCAACCTCGCTTTGGATCGTTGAAGTATTAACTAGCAAAGATGTAATTAAGTAAAGATCCCTCTGAATTGGGACGATAATGTTTATTACTGGATGTAGCGATGCAAGAGAAGAACCACGTGGCAGTTAATCTTTGTATAACGCGAAAGAAAACAAAATTATGTAATACTCGTGTAGCTACGTAACAATGAAACTGTAAATTATAAAAAAATAGATTGACAACTGAAATATATTAAAATTCAGTCTGATATTTTTCTCCCAATACTCATCTTTCAGGGATTTAACAATCCTCTTTATTTATTCATATTTATTGCAACATGTTAATTAACACTATTATTATCACCAAACAAGAAGGTATTCGAACAAAGGTTCTATTGCCTTAAATTATATATTAAATTACGTATTAATATAATCCTTCTTGGAGAAATTTTATCAATATTAGTATTGTTTATAAAATGCGTTATATATCGTACTAGCGTAAGTAATTTTAATTTTCCACAACTTTTCATTCCAAGAATATAATAAGAGTACGTTTGGTTCGAAAACTTCCGACGACCACTCTATCTAAATTTTCAATCTGTAACCGATATTCGTTTATGTTTCACCAATTATTTAACAGATTATTATCAAAGATTTAATTGCCTAATTATAGAATTCTCTGCTCGATAAACGATTCGGTAAACAGGTTACGAGTTCTTGTCGATGGGCGACAGAACTGAACGTTCTTAGCGCAGATAGGCAGAAGAGAAAAGAAGAGAAATAAAGAGAAGAAGAAAAAAGAAAAAAGGTAAATCAGCTAGGGCTACACGTACCGTTGCTGTTTCTGCAAACACACGGCTGCCTCGTCGATTTGTTCTCCAGTTTCACCGGCTGACCTTGACTCGATAGGAAGGCCTCTCGTTTCTTGCCAGTGGCCTGGACAACCTGGTTGCCATTCTGGCCACCCTGCACCACCATCGCGCTCGAGGTCGAGCTCGTAGGGCACGAAGTGCCGTTCACAGCGACCGAGCATCCGGTAGTCGAACCTGTCGGCGACTGATACTCCTGGAGCAACACTCCCGTCGTTGGTACCACATTCCCTGTCGAATTCGGTGACGAGAAGCTGTTGATCGTCAGCGTTGGCGCGTTCCCGGTCACCAGAGACAATTGAGGGGAAAAAGTGTTCTGGTGCAAGCCTCCTGTTCACAGAGAACATTATCATGTCAGTATTATCAGTGATTCTACATTTGGCTGTGTGAAATATCCGTTAGTGTAATAAATGAGTGGTATAGCTAGAGTTTAGAGATATTTTCGTGAGCCGTTGAAAACATTCTTAAGGAACATTTCCATATGATGTTACTTACATAGAAACGAATCTTGAGATATTCTCTTTGCCACTCGTTTTTCATTTTTCTTAGTTTATAAATTCTTGTACTTATGTACTATCCTAGCCTACTACCCTAATACACTAACCCTATGATACTACGCTAAATCAAATGTTAGAAAACGCATAATGAAATATTTTGAATGGACCGTAAGAATGAACTCTGTGAAAAAGATGTGAATGATCTTATTATAGCGTGTAATAAGTTGCGATCGGTTGATTTATGGTATTGGTGAAACGTTTAAATTTTACTATTCAAGATTATATAGTTATATTATTGAGGAAGTGATGACGAGAATGATGAATAAGGGGAAAAACTGCTCGGTTTACGGTGAAACGAATTTTAGGTGTTATCGAGTTTGAATCGCAGCAATATTGCATAAAGTGTGTAAGCCGTTTGAAACGAGATAAATTTGAAGTATTGGAGAGTTTCATCTAAAGTAGGATTATGTATTCGTTATATGATTATATATTATTCAGTTAATACGTTAATCATAGTAAATATTACTTGTCGTGAAATGTTCGAGGTTGATATATATGTGTGTGTGAAATGTTGGTATATATAGGATGATAAACCTTTAATGTTACCAACAGATATATGTTTAATTAACAATTATGGAATAGATCATATATTCTCGCTTAATTTAGGGATAAAGTTTATTCGTTCTACAAAAAATCATATACGCTTCAATTTTCAAATTGAAACGAAGTACATAAAATGATGTTAACTAGTATGTACATGATATTATTCAAAGAAGCGTAATCGATTAAAATTCACTGCAGACTAATAAGTAAAAATGCATTATTCATTGTAGTAAACATCGTCTTTATTCTTGAATATTTTCCAACATGTAGATATACTTCTATTTTTAAACTATTAATGAATTATTCAATAACAATGGCTTAATTCTGTCTAGTAATTTAAACCGTAAAGTAACAACTTCTTAATTTCTCAATTTACTTTATCAATTACGATTAATTGATTGTTAATTGGGTTATAAAATATTGTTTCTACAAAAAAAAAAGTAATTTCATAAAGGAGGAAACGAAATCCGAATGAATAAACGAATTTTAAACCGTTTTTGAAATAATTAATGCTAGTAATAGTAAAAGGAAGTAGACAATAAAACCGGCGAGTAAGATCCTCGCGATTCGGATAACATTAATTAAGCTACTGGCCACGAAATATGTGGCCAATTATTAATACAATGTGGTAAACGCAATGAAACCACAACTTCGACCAGTTTCAAACTTCTACTCGATAAACCGATTTTGTACGATTACCTATACTTTTGTGACAAACGTTTCACATGGTTCATACGTTATTTGTATAATAAAAACTTTATGCAAATATTTGATTTATTCCCTCTTGCATATTTTAATTCATAATAGCGTCGAGTATATCAAACAATTTTGCGGAACGAGATTGTTTTCAAAATAATTATATCATTGTTATTAATACATTGTAGAGATATGTATTAGGAAAACATATTGTAAATTGTTTAAGATTATTTTGTACTCTGTGTTTCATACGTAAAGCAAAAGGAAACATATACAGATAATACAGAAAAACACGGAGAAATATGATATAATAATATAAATGTTATATGACACAAAAATTACTAATCACATTCTATACTGCGACAAATTTTTCGTTGTTAGAGCTGCTGAATTTTGTAAAATCAAACTGATCTTTTCCAAAAATTACAAATGTTTTACCAATAACGTATTAGAGGTATTGATACGACTACGGAGAACCAATTAAAAAAAGAAAACGACAATATGTCCTAGAGGAATAAATTTCTATATTTACTTCTGACACTTTCAGGATATAAAGAAAAATCTGATAAAGTAAAAATGTATTGAAATAAACAATACAAAAAATGCTTGAAAACTATCTATAAAAGACTTAGGGAAAAAATCATTAATTTTATTGAAATTAAAGTTTATCAAACTTCTATGTACGTTAAGAATTAACTTAAACGTCACAGAATAAAATTTCAGTCTACCAATCGCTATAATTACAATTTAATTTTTATCAAATATACCGAATAAGAAATAAAACCGAACCATGCACGTAGAAATAATTACCAATAGATTACATCAATCGCGGGATCAAAGGCTGCGAGGGAGCAACTCGAGGTGATTTATGAAACAATTTCAATTACATACACAGAGGAACATACATAGGAATTCCAACTTGGAAACTCTTTCTCACGACCATCTTATTTTCCGACATTGTAAGCTGCTTAACGGGCGAATCGACGTCGAACTTGGAGAGCGATTCGTCGGCATAGATACAGCCTTAAAAGTACTCGAGAGAACGTTGAATAACCCTGTGTCAACTTCCGCGGTGATCGAAGATTATTCCAGCATTCGCGTCGAATTAGTCGGCAATCGAGCGCCGATTAAACTCTTTCCGAACTTGTTGAATGCGTAACTTTTCGTTCCGTCGTTTATTACGGTAACACGATCGATAAAGTTAAACGAGAAAACTTTTACGACTTCCTTCTCGATATCTTCGAGATCATATTTCGATGAATCGAAACAAGTTGCTCCGTTTGTTTTTCATCATTTGAATCTATCGTTTGCGTTGGGTGGGACAGGTAATTTTCGTCATTTTTTATCGTATTAAATATGCATTAGCATGTCCATTATTATATTTGCACAGTTGACCGAGATATGCAAATTATCCTTCTAGAAGAATAATTAAAGAAGTTTCTGGAAAAATGGCTGGCAAGGCAGAATGAAGACTTGGAAAGTTTCTAGTAGATTGAATAATTAGTCATAGAAAGACGATGTAGAAATAACAATGAAATTAAGAATAATAATTTGCAAAAATGAGGAAACAATAATAATGGAAAATATAATTCTGAAGTCAGCTACGTTTGAATTAATAATTATGAGTCCTAAAGAATACCGATTATCTTACATTTACGAAAGAAGTAAAAATTTCATAACATTTAAACTCTTTGATTAACAAATACACTGCATATTTATGTAGATATTTATGGGATTTATATCATTTATATTCATTCTCATCAAATATTACTCCCTTTTCAAGATACCTATATTGTTACGTAATAGAATATTGGATAAAGTTACGTAATAGAATAATAGACGAGGTTATAAAAATAGTTAATTAGTATTGAATTACATTGAATGATTTTATTTTAGTGGTATTTTTACAAAATGTAAAAACTTCCTGTTAGAAAACTTCCTGGTCGACTTTTTGAAGAAGCACCACATATTTCTAGAACTACTTGCTAGATTACTCCCTACTACTTGCTAGATTACTCCCGACTACTTTCTAAAGTTCTATCTCTTTTTAATTAATATTTACTGATAACATACTAATACAAATTACTTTCTTTATTGTATTCAACCTTGCTTTTCGTCATGTTTTACAACGGCGTATGAGAAAATAACTCTAGATGAGTGATAACTCTAAAATTTGGAGAGAAAATGTATTGTGGAAGGAAAATTACTAACTGTCATGTTCATCCCCTTCTATTTTTCATTTTTAACAGTAACAATGATAAACGATGATAAAGTAGTCGAGATAAATAAAGTGCTCTGTGTATTACTTGCCCTTAACAACATTTAATTCTAAAAACGTGAAATTAAGATTAAAATCAAATTGCATCACGAGACCATTAATGTTTCTCACAGTTGGATTAAAAGTAACTTTGCGCAAACGAGCATGATCTCGATGGTTTAAAGGTTAACGAGTCGAAAACATTTAAGATTTTTAATTCGATATATAAAATAATATACGGCGGTATCTAGCATAATTCATACATATCTTATATTTTCAAAGTAGATTTGCACGCGACATAATAACCTTTTCTAGAGCACCTGGTATTTTTTAACAAATTATTATAAGTGTATCGTTATTAATTGCAAGTTTATTCATTTTCTACCAAAAAAATACCCAAACATTCCTTAGTTGCTTCACAAAGAGCAATCCAGAATAATCCTAACGAAAAACTTATCAATCATATTATTTGTTTCTTACAACTTACAACTAATCTAATTGCTAATTCAGTTCCAAACGACGAGAAAAAGAAGATCCCTTCGTACTTTATAATATATAAAAAAAACTCACCATAATAAAAATTATGAAAACCAGAAAATTCATCCATCACGTTATTCATTTGAAATTAACAACTTGTTGATACTAATTTAATTCCAAACAATATATCTCTTCTATAATTTATACTAAAAGAAAAAAAACACTCACCATGATGAAGATGATGAAGACCAGTCAGATTTAGCGTATGTTGCGTGTGCTGGGTATGCTGTGTGTGCTGAGCGTGATGCAAGCTGCCTACGTTCACACCAACACCTTGAAGACTAAGCGCTTGTTGTCCCGGAGGAGCCAAACTAGCCAAATTTTTGGCCAGCAACTCGAGCTGCGTCACGGGCACGGGACTGTAGGGTGAGCCAGGGGGTGGCGTGGGAGCACCCCAGGTGTAGCCACCCACCCCAACTCCAACGGCCGCGGAAAACACGCTCTCTGAAACTACAGAATCCGACGATTAATCGATTTACTCCTTCTCTGGCTCCCTAATCGGAACTGGGCCGCTTTCAGAGTCACAATAGTCACTTTGATCCCAGTCAATTATTTTCCCGATACGATTGTACATAGAACGTGCACAAATTGCGAATTGTTTCCACAGACATAATAGCATATCTGTGTCCAGTCTCGTGGAAAATTCATATATTGTAATCTCTCAGGGAAATAAGAAGGATTAAAGTGAAAAATTTGACGAATAAAGGATTCGCACCGACAACAAAGTGGCAGTTCCAAATATTCAAATCGTATTTATTAAGAGAGAAAGAAGTTTCGTATTGGAAAGTTTCGCATTCAAAAAGTGCGAAAGTTTATTATTACGATCAATCAATCGATTCAATCAATTGATTATGGCTTTATAGCATCATTTAAAAAGTACTTGATTTTCGGTTTTATTTTTTATTGGTTCGTTGAAATTGCTGTAAAGTGGAAGTGCCTGGCTGTGCCTTATTGCAGCAACCGTTTCGAGTATCATTTGCAAGTAGGCTCCGAATATTTATATACAGATTCAGATTTTTATGAATATTCAGAAATGCAATCGAAGTAGATAGTTGTTTCGCGTATTAAACGTTATAAAGAGCGTTCTGTTTTCCATGTTTTATATATTTGTGCATATTATACGCATTTTGGATACTTCTACATATTTGATTCTCGCACGATCGATGTTACGTGCACGCGTTAACAAGTTATCAATTAACTGAACGATGAATTTATTCGCTTTTGATAAAAGTGGTTTCAAATTTTTTTTATATAATGCACTCTCTACAAGATCATCCGAGATGTTTCTTTATTATTAATAATTGATACGAAAAAAACTATTCTTCTCAAAGGCAAAAAGAAAGATTCAATCCCAAAAGGGTAAAAATGGGTAGTCTATTTGAAACATTTTATAATTTACGCGGATTTCTCGAATTTTTCATTTCGATAGATCAGAAGCAGTGAAATTGTTATCGAGAACTATTTCTTAAATTACTTCCGACTGGAAAATCTAGCACATTTCGCTATTTATAACTTCTCAGTGGTTCACTTGTAATTTTTAATCTGTACAATTAGCACTAAAATATAGAGATTATCCTTATTATTAAAATGTCGTAATAATGTAAAGCAAAACATAAATAATTAATGATGGAGGATATACATATCTACTATTAATAGATCGTGTATGTTTCTATATTCAATAGAAATTTAAATATGCAAAAATGTACGGAATGCACATCATGTGCAAAAATATACAAAATATTCAAAGTAGAATATTCAATATAAATATGTATCCTCCACTTTGCAATTCTACAAATGTCTACACTGGCATCTACACTGTACTTAGTAATTGCAAAAAAAGAGGGAACTAAAAATTGTAATTTTCAAAAGATTCGCAGCGTCAAGCCACGTCATTACACAATTGGAATTAAAATATAAAACATTGAAGGCGTTTGAACCGAATCCTTATACGACACCCTGAATCAACGTCGTATCAATTCCATTGCATCTTATCGATATAAAAAAGAGCCGATAAAAAAGAGTCGTTAATTCTCAAACCAATTCATCAACGAAATTCCATCGAGGCAGAATCTCTCTCGTCGTTTCCAGCAATAAGCAAAGAAGCACGAGGCGTGGTATACGCAGAATGAAAAATCACGAAGGAACGCAGTCCAGCGAGCGCAAAACGTCTAGCAGCTCGACTTGTGACTTGGATCGTAAATCAGGCATCGAGTCCTCTCACGACAAGGATCGTTCGCGCCTCCACGTTTCGAAACGCTCTCTCTGCCAGTGCTGCTTCGCCTGTAGACGGTTTGTTGCATTTCCTGATTTCGCGAACGATCGTCCAAAGCCTCTGTATACCCGCGTATGAATATTAAAGTCGGCGTGTGACGCGTTACCCGATGGGCTTATTGAAATTTATCGCATTAGTTCTTCGCCACTTTCGATAAATATGCAATAAACGACCGGCCAGACGGATAAATGGAAAATCTATGCAAATTCATTTAAATCGGACGCGACACTCGCCGCCGTGAACGGAAGAAAGACAGACAGTGGCCAGAGAACTGGGGAGAGAGGGCGAAAAGCGAGCAGGGCGAAGGGAAGTGCACCGATTTGCTTTTTACCCTTGTGCCGGGCAGTATTTTTGCCTTGGGGATGATACAGCGACACTTTGGAACAAATTGTCTCGATTCGCTGTTTTGTCCCGATGACGATGGAATCTTCTGACGATATTCCGGTTATTGGTCTGAGAGACCTTTGAACAATTGGAAATCGTCAGGTGACAGAGTGCGTTTCGAACGAGCGATACTGCTCTCTTAAGAGTTTCAACTTCTTCGTGGATGAATGGAGTTGAAATAATTCCGATCGTTCATCGGCTATTGTATCCTTCTGTGTTTCGATGTAACCTTTGAACCGTTTCGAGTATACGATACAGTTAATTTATTTCATTTTCGTTGTACGTCTCTTAGAAAACAGAGTAATATGAATGAAACGACACGTATAATATTTCACTTATCAATGTTGAAACATCCATCGTATGACCTAGTTTGCTTAATGTTACGCTGTATTTGGAGTAACTATATTTGATTTATATAAATGTATTATCTAGTATACCATGTTATGTACAATAACAATACTAATCTGCAAATTAATCTATTCCATTGTACCAGTTGTCAAGCAGATATCTCACCCTAGCAATTCTGGGTGATGATACTTCTGAATATTGCACTCACCTGTTCGTTCTGCTAACCATCCGCAGCATGAAAGAAAAACGAAACGTACGAATTATTAATGAACAACTCTTTGCCGTAGACTTACAACTTACAAGGCACAGATGGAAATCGAAACCTTTGATTATCTGTCTCTCGTATAATCGAAAAAGAAAGCCGTAATTTATATCACCTACTCTTCAATTAGGGTAAGTGAAACAAGTGGAGCGACATTTCGAGACGAATAAAGTACTAGAGAGTTGCCTTTATTTAATTTATGACGTGGTAGAAAGTGTTTGAAGCGTTTTAATTAAAGAGAAAAATTAAATATGTGTTTCCAATATTGCATTATTGATTGTCGTTCAATTCTTAATCGATGAAAAAGAAGTACAAGTAATATGAGCTTCCGATATGTTGCAGATCCTAGTCGCATAACCCGTACTTGTTTCACATAAATTTGCAATTTTTTTTTTCGCTGAACTTGCAGTTCTACCGCTTGCATAAAACGAACGAGAAATGATTTTTTCGGAATATCGTAGCATGTGATTACGAAGAGTAAGGGTTTATTTTCAACTGAATTTGAAATTGAGAATTGAAACTTGAAATATTTAAATCTTAGATGTATACGTATGAAAAGCATAAGAATTGTAAATATCCGAGTTCTTTTAGAGATTAGGTATATAGTTTTATATAACTTTCAGAATATTTGAAAAGCGATTACTAAATATTCATTTCTATGAACTAAAACGTTACGAAAGGAATTTCCAAGTCAAGCTGTACGTTAGTCAGTCATCTATTTAATAAAACAACGTTTCGAAAATACAGGCAGTCCTTAAATTTATATTCATAAAATATCTAATTCCCTTTGCACGTTTTATAAATTTCTTTCGATATCGTTAAAAGTAATTTATTAAATCCAAAAATCTCCGATATACATAAGCCTTTTAGAAAAGTCACGAGGAGGCTGAAGCAATACATGTTTAATGAATTGGAATTAATCGACAATGTGCACAATTTTGAAACTGTTCATCCGTAAAAAAACAGCAAATTACCACTTTATCATATTCCTCCTCTGTAATTTCCATATCTGATTATTCCGACGTAATCATCGGAATGACATTTCGTCATAACACGAATTCGCCGTAACTATAGCCTTTCCAACCCATCCCAAAAGATCATCAACTACCCATAACCCAAAGGCCAGCCCCGATACCATCCACCCTCGACTAAATTCGCGTATTCATTTGGGATTCGAGCGATCGGCGCGGACGGAAAGCGTGGCGCGGACTCGGGCGCGTTCGCGCCACGCGAGGCGGGCC